CTTTTTTTAAATACTTTCAAATGTTGAAAAAATGTATATATACGTTTGGACCGTTTACGGGTTAAAGAGCACATAAGAAGAGTTAGACTTGCTGATACAAATACTGCTCTTTTTTTCTTCCTACTTTATCTCCTTTGTTTTATCTTCTTTGCCGTTTCTTATGCCTAGGTGGGTTCTGTCCGACGGGTTTTCCCGCATTTTGTCCTTGTATTAATAAAGCGACAGGTGTTGCTCATGTTGCAGGTGTTGCATATGTCTTATTCTTCATTTTGCTATCAGTTACAATTTAAATACTATCAATTGATATTACTTACTAAAATTAATAATATCATTTTAAACTATAATTTCAATTTACTCTTAACATTTTTGACATTTTTAACCATTACTTGTCTAATTACCCTTTACCTGTTTTAATACCACATTAACAAATCTTAGAGTAACTCTTATTACCTGTACTGCCATATACCTCTAGTATAACTACCATTGCAATATTGAATCCAAATAACTGTTCTTAAAAATTTAATACTTGAAATAAACATTACTTTTTCACTTTTTTTGCCTAATTAATATTTTTTGTAATCATTATTACTTACTAAAATTTTATTAAACACCATATTTACTACCATCAATTTTACTTTTGTACATTAAACATTATTTTATACTTTTCTTAACATTTTGTTGCCAAAATTTTTTCAAGTTTGTATATTCAACTCCAACCTTTATATTATCCTTTGTACCTGGTCTACCTGTGTACCTGTGTACCTGTCTACCATCTTACTATCATATTATAACCAAGTCATTGCCATTGTTTTTTTTACAAAATTATTCTTTTGGTACTTAATTTGTGAATTTTATCTTGTCAGTTTAAATCTAGTTATACTCTTGATCTTAACAACCTATATCAGACCCTAGTGCAATTGCAAGTACCATTTTAATTTGTATTTTTATATTATAAGTTTATGCCTAGTTGCACTTTAGCTCATTCTAGCTCAATACATAGACAACACCTAAACTAACTATACTAGTTGTACTTTAGCTCATTCTAGCTCAATACATAGACAACACTAAATTCATTATATTAGACCTTAGTGCAATTACAAGAGTGAGTCTGGTGCCACTTGTATTTTTTTTGTTTTATAGTATTAGTTTATACCTAGTTGTACTTCAGCTCATTCTAGCACAACACATAGACAATATCAATTTCATTATGTTTATTAGTGACTATACTCTATATGACCAAAGTGCTTTAGCGGTATACTTATCCAAACCTCCCACCACTACAGAAATCAGTATTAGAACTCACCACTTAATACAGGATATAAACAATCACTATTTAAACCTAAAAGATGAATGATCACGTTAACCCTGATCTAAACCTCCATAATCTAACACACAATGAAAACTTATTGGAAAGTAACTGCCTTTATTACACAGCATCACAAGCCAGCACTATCCTGAACACTGCTCAAAGTCTATCAGTTCTTAACTACAACATCAGGTCCTTAAGCAAACACTATGATGACCTCCTGGCACTCCTTGAGTCACTAAAAAAAACCCTTCTCCTGCATTATTCTTACTGAGACCTGGCTTAAGCAGGACACAGTAGATATCTACCCACTACCAGGATACACAGCAATCCACAACTGCAGACCATACCAAGTTGGGGTGGTACTGCAATCTATTACTCTAACCAACTATCTTGTATTAGCACTAATTGCTTCAGTGATGAATATGGGGAATACATTTTTGCTAATTTTACTGTAAAAAAACCTTAAGACACCTATAACAGGATACCCCACACAAACATCCCAAACTTCAGTGAGAATCTAAAGTCACTAATAACAAACAGACAAATGAACAAGCACCACCTTCTCTTAGCTGGAGACTTCAATATCAACCTTGGCCTACCAGATGATCAGACTGTAACTGATTTCATCAACAATATGAACAACACACTTCTCATACCAACAATAACTAAACCAACCAGGCTGACTGAGACAAGTGCAACCATAACAGACCACATATGGACCAATATACTAGCCCCTCTTAAATCAGGGATAATCACAGACAGCACTACTGACCACTACCCTACCTTCCTCTTAACAAACATCAGTAAGCCACCACTCGAATACAACAAAGTTTCATTTAGACTCCATGACGAGGCCTCAGTAAGGAAGTTCACAGCTGACCTAGAGACTGTTGACTGGCCTACAGAATTCTCCAATGCCAATGGTATTGACGATTGGACAGACATTTTTCCTCAACAAAATACGTAGACTATACAACAAACATTGTCCTATAAAAATGAAACAGATCACGAATAAACGGCTTGGTTGCCCATGGCTAACCAGCAGCATTCTGAAATCCATTGATAAGAAACACCAACATGAAAAGCAATATAGACAGGGCTTAATACACAAAGATATTCTTAAACAATATTCAACAGTTTCTCACCAAATTAATAAAAGAAAGCCAAACAACTGTACTACTCCAGCAGATTCACTGACACAAGAGGAGATATAAAAAAAGACCTGGAAAACACTTCCCAGATTCTGGGACCCACAAACTGAAAAAAAACAAGAATATTGTTCTAACAAAACCTCATGAAACAACCACTGCATCCCACTGACAGCTAACAGATAAACGACTTCTTCTCAACATAGGAAACTAATCTCACCAGTAAAATCCCACGTACCAATGCCCGTGCCAGAGACTATCTAGATGGGAATTTCCCAAATTCCTTCTATCTTGTATCAACTGAGGGCCCACGGAAGTCACCGCGATCATAAAGTCACTTAAAAATAACTCGGGAATCTGTCTCACGTCCCACCATTATTGTACAAGCAAGCAGCCCATGTTCTTTTGCATGCTATTACATTACTTTTTAACTAGTCACTAGAAACTAGCACTTTCTCGACACTACTCAAGACAGCAAGGTACACCAATACATGAAGGTGGTGACCCTACAGACGTAAACAACTATAGGCCAATATCAAACTTACCATTGCTATCCAAAATCTTCGAGAAACTCGTGCACAGGATACTATATTTATTTATAACGTCACAAAACATAATCAACCCCTGCCACTAATGATGCAATTATAAAAATGCTAGACCTGCTTTACACAGCATTGGAAAATAAGGAATATCCGCTAGGAATTTTTATTGACCTCAGAAAAGCGTTTGACACAGTAGACCACGGCATCCTACTCCACAAACTTGACCACTATGGTATAAGAGGCCATGCGCTTGCATATTTTAAATCCTACCTTTCTAATAGGTATCAGTATGTCACCATTAAAGACACAGCCTCATCAATACAGCCACTTGATACTGGAGTTCCGCAGGGAAGTGTCCTTGGACCCCTGCTCTTCCTCATTTACATCAATGATCTTCCAAACATATCCCAACACCTGAAACCCATTCTCTTTGCTGACGACATGACTTATGTCATCTCCCACCCTAATCTTACCACCCTCAACACCATTGTTAACGAGGAGCTGCTCAAAATATCAACTTGGATGACAGCCAATAAACTTACACTTAACACTGACAAAACCTACTATATTATGTTTGGTAGCAGAGCAGGGTTTTTGCCCAACTTAACATTAAGATCGACAACACACTAATTGCCAGACATAATGAGGACAATTTCCTTGGCCTATACCTCGACAACAACCTAAATTTCAGCACCCATATCCAACACATAACAAAAAAAGTATCCAAAACGGTGGGGATCCTCTCCAAAATACGATACTATGTGCCGCAAACTGCCCTTCTCACACTATACCATTCACTTATATATCCATACCTCACCTAAGCTATCTGTGATTGGGGTTCAACTGCAGCAACACACCTAAAGCCAGTAACAACCCAACAAAAAGCCGCAGTAAGAATAATCACTCAATCCCATCCCTGGCAACACACCCCCCCACTCTTCATAGATCTAAACTTACTCCCTGTTCAGAACATCCACACTTACTACTGTGCAATCTATATCTACAGGACCTTAAATTCCAATATTAACCTTGACCTAAAATGCTTTCTTGATAGTTGTGACAGGATCCACAGGCATAACACCAGACACAAACATCTCTATGACATTCCCCGTGTTCAACTAAACCTTTACAAAAATTCAATGTATTTCAAAGGACCTAAAATCTGGAACACTCTACCTGAAAACTCTAGAACTGTAGACACATTCATCACTTTCAAAACTGCAGTTAGAAAACATCTCTCCCTGATCCACCCCGACAACTAACTACATGATAACCACCTGGTGGTTCACAATTACACTCACTCACCCACTGACTATAAACCCAGAAATACTAATCTTAATCTTAAAATAATAAATCCTAACTAGTCATAAATTTGCCTATGATACTCCAATATAGACACTTTGTATTGTGCCAAAACAAAAGCATTCACATTATTAAACTCACAAATTATGATGTGGTCATGTAGCCTTAATACCATAATCTGTAAGGATTTATTGTTAAGAATTAATCTAAGTCTGCCCAAAATACCTAGCCATGCTAGGTGTCCTAGTGGCCCCCTCTGTAATTAGTATTTTGTAACATGTAAACCACACAATACCCAAAACCTGCAAACCCCACATTGTAACCCTTATAGAGAATAAACTTGAATTGAATTGAATTGAATATATCATGTAATGTAAAATACTTTTGTGTTTTTTGTATGTTTAGCAACTGCCGTATTTTATGGCATCAAAAACTTTGTTTTTTCCAAAAAATAAGTCTCATAAATTTACCCAGCATCTTGGAGGCTGAAGTACCATCTATCTTTTTTTTTCCCCCCCAAATTTAGCCAGTCTAAAATGCCAGAGTGTCTTGTTCACCATAAAAATACTTTAATAATTATTGCCATTGTAGTAGTAAGTTTAAGCTTACCCAGAATGCTCTGCATAACAACTAAATGTCACCCATCACTGTATTAACATTGTACTGTGCTAATGTTAATGTTGTCTTGTGTTTGCGCAGATCACTCTGGCCAGCAAGATGAACGGCAACACATCGGCAACTTACACATCAGTGGTGTCGCCGCTCTACATCTCCTATGTGACGCTCATCCTTATGTCGTTCACCACAAAGCGCGCTAACCAGTGTAAGTTACCACACATATGACGAACCCTCGCACTCGTTAGTACAGATGCTCCGCATTTTACAATTGTTTGATAAAACTGTAAAACCTTTTGTTTTGTACTGTACATTTGTTGAAAGGATAAAGTTGTATTCATATTTACTTTCCAATACAGTGGACCCCCGCATAGCGAACGCCTTGCATAGCGAACAATCCGCATAGCGAACGCTTTGTTCGCTAAAATTTTGCCCCGCATAGTGGACAAAAACCCGCTCAGCGACCTTCGTCCGAGACGCGTCCAATGTGCGCCCTCAGCCAGCCTCACATGTGCCGCCCGTCCCATTGTTTACCAGCCAGCCTCCGCGGTAACATTCAAGCATACACTCGGAATATTTCGTATTATTACAGTGTTTTCGGTGGGTGTTTGTGGAAATAAGTGACCATGGGCCCCAAGAAAGCTCTAGTGCCAAACCCTACACCTCAAAGGGTAAGAATACCCATTGAAATTAAGAAAGAGATCATTGATAAGTATGAAAGTGGAGTAGTATCACCGACCTGGTCAGGTTGTACAAGAAACCAAAATCAACCATCGCTTCTATTGTGGGCAAGAAAACGGCAATCAAGGAAGCTGTTGTTGCCAAAGGTTTAACTGTGTTTTCGAAACAAAGATCGCAAGTGATGGAAGATGTTGAGAGACTCTTATTGGTGTGGATAAATGAAAACAGCTAGCAGGAGATAGCGTCTCTCAAGCGATCATATGTGAAAAGGCTAGGAAGTTGCATGACGATTTAATTAAAAAAATGCCTGCAACTAGTGATGATGTGAGTGAATTTAAGGCCAGCAAAGGTTGGTTTGAGAGATTTAAGAAGCGTAGTGGCATCCATAGTGTGATACGGCAGGTGAGGCTGCCAGTTCGGACCACAAAGCGGCTGAAAAATATGTGCATGAATTCAAGGAGTACATAGAAACTGAAGGACTGGAACCTGAACAAGTGTTTAATTGTGATGAAACAGGCCTGTTCTGGAAGAAAATGCCAGGCAGGACCTACATTACTCAGGAGGAAAAGGCACTCCCAGGACATAAGCCTATGAAAGACAGGCTTACTTTGTTGATGTGTGCCAATGCTAGTGGTGATTGCAAAGTTAAGCCTTTATTAGTGTATCACTCTGAAACTCCAGAGCGTTCAGGCAAAAGAATGTCCTCAAGGATAATTGTGTGTGCTGTGGAGGGCAAACAGTAAGGCATGGGTCACTAGGGAATTTTTCTATAACTGGTTACACCATGCATTTGCCCCCAATGTGAAAGATTACCTAACTGAAAAGAAATTAGACCTTAAGTGCCTCCTGGTGTTAGACAGTGCCCCTGGTCATCTACAGACGTGGCAGAGCGACTTTATGGGGACATGAGCTTCATTAAGGTGAAGTTTTGCCTCCTAATACCACTCCTCTCCTGCAGCCCATGGACCAGCAGGTCATTTCCAACTTCAAGAAACTGTACACAAAAGCTCTGTTTCAAAAGTGCTTTGAAGTGACCACAGACACTGGATTGACTCTAAAAGAGTTTTGGAAGGATCACTTTAATATCCTCAGTTGTGTAAACCTTATAGGTAAGGCTTGGGAGGGAGTGACTAAGAGAACCTTGAACTCTGCTTGGAAGAAACTGTGGCCAGAATGTGTAGACAAAAGGGATTTTGAAGGGTTTGAGGCTAACCCCTGAGAGGAGTAGTTACCAGTTGAGGAATCAATTGTGGAATTGGGGAAGTCCTTGGGGTTGGAGGTTAGTGGGGAGGATGTGGAAGAGTTGGTGGAGGAGGACAATGAAGAACTAACCACTGATGAGCTGATAGATCAACTTCAGAGCAAGAGGCCAGACCTGGGAAACTGGTTCAAAGGAGGGGAGAGAGAAATTGAAGGAATTGCCTACTTCAAAGATTAAGGAAATGTGTGCAAAATGGCTTGAAGTGCAAACCTTTTTTGATGAAATCACCCTCACACAGCTATTGCAAGCCGTGCTGGTGACTGTTACAATGACACTGTTGTGAACCAAATTTAGACAAATCATAAAGGAACGAGAGGTACAGGCCACTATGGACAGATATGTTGTGCGAAAGAAGTCCAGTGACTCTGAAGCTGGTCCTAGTGGCATTAAAAGAAGAAGGGAAGTAACCCCAAAAAAGGACTTGCTACCTCAAGTCCTAATGGAAGGGGATTCCCCTTCTAAACACTAACCACTCTCTCTCCCCTCCTCCCATCCCATCAATCATCACCAGATCTTCAATAAAAGTAAGTGTCATGTAATTGTGCATGCCTTTTTCAGTTTGTGTGTACTAAAATTAACATTTTTTTGTGGTAAAAAAAATTTTTTTTCATACTTTTGGGTGTCTTGCACGGATTAATTTTATTTCCATTATTTCTTATGGGGAAAATTAATTCGCATAGCGAACATTTCGCATAACGACCAGCCCTCTTGCACGGATTAAGTTCGCTATGCGGGGGTCCACTGTACTGGTATTTAGTTACAGTAATTATTTGTTTGTTTAATTATTTAGTGACAAGTTTTTAATTTATCTTAATCATATTCGACGTACAATATTTTCAACATACGATGGGTTCATTGGAATGTTCCATTAATTACAAGTCCGGCCAAGTGTTTTCGCCATTATATCCGAAATCCATTTATGCGTGTCCGTTATATCGAGACTTTACTGCACAGGTGCTCCTTGACTTACAGTATTTGAACTTTATGATGGTACAAAAGTAATTACTTTGGAGCTGAAACGTAAGATAATTACCCAACATGAAGGTGGCAAGTCCATAATTTGTATAGTTACAGTAATTATTTGTTTATTTACTTATTCAGTGACAGTAGTTATGTTTACTTACTTATCATATATTCATACTTACTTATCATATATTCATACTTAAGATATTTACAATTTATGATGAGTTTGTTGGAACCAAAAAAGAGAAGAAAAGCTATAAAATCAGGATGCTTGAATGTGCGTGGATGTAGCGCTCAAACACCCATCGGACTACCTCACGGGTACCTACCCGAATACGCTATTTCCAGCTCTAACCAACCCAACAGAAATATCGTTCATCAACACCCTTAAAAACAAGGCAGGAAATATTCCACCTTTTATGTACAAAAAGCTTGTCAAGTACTGTCACCAATTATTGCAACACTTTAACAAAGCCATTGAATCCTCCAACTTCCCATCAATTCTCAAAATAGTGAGTGTCACCCCGATCCACAAAGGACGAGATCAAACAGATTTGAATAACTATAGACCGATATCTAACTTACCTCTACTCTCTAAAATCTTTGAAAAATTAATTCATAGGCAGATCTATTCCTACCTTGTCTCTCAAGACATACTCAACCCCTCGCAGTTGGATTTAGGACTAATAAAAGCACAAATGATGCTATTGTACACATTTTTTTTTTTAACAAGTCGGCCGTCTCCCACCAAGGCAGGGTGACCCAAAGAGAAAGAAAATCCCCAAAAAGAAAATACTTGCATCATCATTCAACATTTTCACTTCACTCATACATAATCACTGTTTTTGCAGAGGTGCCCAGAACACAACAGTTTAGAAGCATATACGTATAAAGATAAACAACATATCCCTCCAAACTGCCAATATCCCAAAACTCCTCCTTTAAAGTGCAGGCATTGTACTTCCCATTTCCATACTCAAGTCCGACTATATAAAAATAACCGGCTTCCCTGAATTCCTTCACTAAATATTACCCTGCTCACACTCCAACAGCTCGTCAGGTCCCAAATACCATTTGTCCCCATTCACTCCTATCTAACATGCTCACGCATGCTTGCTGGAAGTCCAAGCCCCTCGCCCACAAAACCTCCTGTACCCCCTCCCTCCAACCTTTGCGAGGACGACGACCCCTACCCCGCCTTCCTTCCCCTACAGATTTATACTCTCTCCATGTCATTCTACCTTGATACATACCCTCTAGATGACCAAACCACTTCAACAACCCCTCATCAGCCCTCTGACTAATACTTTTATTAACTACACACTTCCTAATTTCCACACTCTGAATTCTCTGCATAATATTTACACCACACACATTGCCCTTAGACAGGACATCTCCACCGCCTCCTCACTGCAGCATTTACAACCCAAGCTTCACACCCATATAAGAGTGTTGGTACCACTATGTACAGTGGACCCCCGCTTAACGATCACCTCCCAATGCGACCAATTATGTAAGTGTATTTATGTAAGTGCATTTGTATGTGTATGTTTGGGGGTCTGAAATGGACTAATCTACTTCACAATATCCTTTATGGGAACAAATTCAGTCAGTATTGGCACCTGAACATACTTCTGGAATGAAAAAATATCGTTAATCGGGGGTCCACTGTACTTTCATACATTCCCTTCTTTGCCTCCGTAGATAATGTTTTTTGTCTCCACATATACCTCAGTGCACCACTCACCTTTTTTCCCTCCATCACTTCTATGGTTAACCTCATCCTTCATACATCCATCCACTGAAACGTCAACTCCCAAATACAGTGGTCCCTCGTTGTTCGTAATTAATCCGTTCCTGGACCCGTTACTATAAACGAAATTTACGATTTACGAATCAATTTTCCCCATAAGAAATAATGTAAATACAATTAATCCGTTCCTGACACCCAGAAGTATTAAAACAAAAAATTTTTTAACATGAAATATACATGTAGTACATAAACAATACAATGGGAAATGATGAATGAAACATTAACAGCATAACACTTACCTTTATTGGAGATTCTTCTTAGTGTATGGGAGACTGGAGGAGGAGAGAGAGTGGATTGTTTATTTGTTTGGGAAAGGGGGAAACCCCTTCCATCAACACCTCAGGTACCATTTGCTTTTCTGGGGTTGCTTCTCTTCTCTGTTTCTTAATGCCACTAGGACCATCTTGAGAGTCACATTTCGACGCTGTCTCACAAAATTACTGTGGAGAGAGCTCTGTTTCTGGCGTCTCTTTAACACTTCCCTAAAATGGCCCAAGACTTTTTTCCACTGTACAAAGTTGCCAA